AAAAAGAAAGCATTCAAATGCTTAATTTTCTTTACATTAATCTTAATGAAAATTAATGAATAAAATAATTTTTTTGGGTGGTTAATTGTTATATTTTATTTTTTTACATTTATTTTGCTATAATAAATTTGGTCAATTTACTAAAAATTCGACTATAATTATAGTCGCGATTTTTTCGCGATAAAAATCGTAAATCACGTGCGATTTTTAGGCTGTCACGCCAACCTATCCTGGACACCCTATCTATCTCTCGTGAATAATCTAGTTATCCTTCACATCATATGAATTTATCTAACTTATCAAATGTTGAGGAGAATGCTGTAAAATCGTCTTAGTATTCACCATCTTTAAATTAAAATTAATTGTTCAATTATACCAGTTAAAGTAGTTCGAGTTAACTCCATAAATTATCTTACATTGAAGTAACACCAATTGCAGAATTGTGACGCATCAAAATGCGGAACCTGATTGGCCGACCTTTTATAATAATTTACGTGTTTTTTTTTTTTTTTTGTTCTTTGCCTTTTTGTTTTCAATTTTAAACTTTTAGCAAAAACAAACTTAATAACTAACTAAATGTCAAAAATAAAAAGCAAGATCCATTATTATCCTGATGGAGACCTTATCATCATCGTGGATTTAAGAGTGTTTTGTGTTCATAAGACTGTTTTAAGTCTTGCTTCAACCGTATTTAAAGACATGATCTCTAACGCGAGTCCAACTCCTATCGATGATCAACTCATAATTGAAATCACCATCAACGACGAATCAGCAAAGGATTTTGAAGAAGTTTTATCATTTATTTATCCTTCTGTCTATATTACTATTAACTGGGACAATTTGGTTGAAATGTTTAGGCTTTCTGATAAGTTTAAGATGCAAGTCATTTTTATGTCGGCGAAAACTTTCGCGATGGAGAAATTACAAGAAAACCCTTTACTTTTCCTTTCCTTATCTGAAAAGTATAGGCTCAAAAAATTATTCAAGGAGGCATCTAAGCTTATCATTGATGACTTTATCGAGTACAAGGAGGAACCTTCTTTTCAGAAATTGTCGAATGAAACGATATTAGCACTTTATAAGAAACATCATGAATATGTGCTTAACCTACATCATCTTGATGTAGAAGACCTAAAACGCGATTATACACCAACAATTAAATGTAATTGTGTCACAGATGAGACGGATAAATTGTTTAAAAGGTTGAAGAAGATTAAAAGATTTGAAACTCCAACGCCATCAAAAACATATAAAATACTTTGTACCATTAGTGATCAAGAATCAAAAGGTTTTAGTTGTATAATAAATTTTTTTAATGTTCATCTTCCAAATAGGTTTAAAGAAATATTTGGTAAAGTGGAATCATTGGATTCGGAGAGGAGCAATGATAATGCTAACCGATATCTCTTTATTGAAATGGAAGGATGATTTTTTTTAAAAAAAAAAGAAGTAAAAGTTTCAGGAAGAATTTGATAGTGATAAAATCTTAAAATTCCCAAATTTTTTAATAAGTAATGAAAAAATTGATGTTTGATTTTTAATAAAATAGACAATATAAAAAACATTGATAGAAATTGATGAAATTGAATCCTGAAAAGTTATTAGAATAATCATAGTAGTAATTTTGATTCTTTATATTGTTCTCACGAAAATGTTCATAATTAAAAGATAAGCGAACTAATCTTTACAGCTAATTACGCTAACTTTAATTAGGGAGATAAACCTTTCCTCGCAGCGAGTATATATAAAGAAAGAGAGATTCCCATAGAAACACTCCAAGTCAAAGTACGTAAACCAGCTACACCAGCAGATTCATTATTCATGTAAATAAAATTATAAATTACACGAGAGATGACATAGGAGGTTGATAAGAAATTGATCGTGGAAAACGGTACTCCAGCCATATTAGCGACAATCTATTTACAACCATAATATAGAATTTATTAAAGATTTCAAAAAAAAAAAAAAAATCACGAATAATAAATTGTTTACTTACCACGGAACAAGCAAAAATTGGAAAAGTTTCTAATCCATTCTGATGAGCAGATTCACAACGTTTTGCTTTACGCCAAACATCTTGGGTCATTTGTTTTTCCGCTTTAATAACATTATCTCTTGGACTGATATTATTCCATTTTCCAGTTTGTCTTGAAACAAGATAACCCTTGATAAAATGTGGATAATAAGCGACGACTACCGCTGCCGGAAGGGTGTAAAGTGAATAGTTTGACATTTTTTTTATGAGTTAAAAAAAAGTGAATGGTTCTTTATAAGTCTGGGAATTTTTTAATTAATGATCGGGACTAATATAGTTAGTATTTAGTATTATTTAATTATTTGTATAGTATTGTCGCAAATCTATATTCAGTATGGCTAACGTTTTACACATTATCTAATTATATTATGTAAATTACTGTTCATCTTCCATATTTGGATGGAATTATGAGTATTATGTTTAATGTCGGGCGAAACTAGTTTTGCTCCAAATAAGGTGCCGTATAAATAAAAGTGATGCTTTAGGGATTTCGAAAAATCGTTTCGCCCGTATTACAGCCGAAAACTCTTGAATGATGAGTCCCTGTTACTGAATTTTAGGGTAACTTTCGAATTCAACTAAAAAAAAATTCTTTTTATAAAAACTTTTTAAAGATGTAAGTTTTTTTTTTTTTTTTTTTTTTTTGTATTTATATGATAATAATAATTTATTAGTTGTAACTTTTTACTTTAGTTTTAACTCAGATAATGAACAAAATGTAAAAAAAAAAATTTTGAGAGACTACAGTATGTCAATATGTCAATTTCATCGACTTTGATAATCGGATGGGGAAAAAAATTTTTCATACAAATATTGTGGAAGAAAATTTAATAAAAATTTACAATCCAATAAATTAATTTATACATTATGTAATGATGTACTTTCAGACAATTTGGAGCGTCCAAAATTTGTTGGATTGGAGATAAAATCATGCATTCATTTCAAACATAATTTTAAATGATACCGGACCGCCTACAATTAAACCTATATATTCCTCATCAAACCTCATATTACTAATCATGCCTAATAAGGAAATACATGTTCTGCAAGGATCACGAGGATCCCAAGGGGTAGATCCCAGCGCTGAAATAAGCCAACTCTTGGTTTTGGTTGGAATGTAACAGGGTAAGATAGCGAAGAAGTATGTTACGAGCACCATTGATGTCCCGATCAAGCTCAGTTCTATAACTGGGACAACAGAACACCTTGGATCCACCTAATTTTTTATGGATATGGCCACAACGCCCACACGTCTTACTGGTGTATTCTTCTGTGCATATAATTACTCGGCACCATAGGTGTTCACGAACTTTATGTAGAAGATATTGACGGAATTGAAAGTGTGACCATGTTAACATCAGGAACGGATCCGTCGTTTTCCACGTTTAACTATTTCCTGCGTCTTGAATTCAGGTAACAAAATGATATGATAATTTTGACATAACCAACTAGAAAATTTATGATGACAATCATCAATAAGACAGCAGATTTTTTTATGTATATGAAGCATGACCTTGCGAAGCTTGTAGCGTTTTCGTTTATGTATTTTGCCATAAAAGGAGTCATGCTTGCTTTGGATTTTGTCATAAGTGTGGCAAAGTTGGTAAATTCTATTGATATTGTTTTTACCCCATTCTAAAGTTTGTCCACTTGGATCGTATCCAGTCATAAATGTCCGTACGCCCAGATCTAGAGCGATCACTGCATCCTCTGATTGTGTAGGACCTTGATTTTTGGCCCGTATATCAAGTGGTTGAGGAATGCAAAGGTAAAATTCTCTAAGCCGATTTACTACAAGTCGTGTATTATAATGGAGCTTTGCTGGAAGATTTTTGGCTAACTTCATCTTACAAAGAAATGCATAAACTCCTTTTAATCTACCCTAATGTTTCGATAGAACTGCAATAGATTGTTGTCGATCGTTCTTAGAGCAAAATTTTATCTTAAATTTCATCTGTTTTGCAGCAAAATTTGTTGAATATGCTTTAAGTAAATCGTTCATCCCTTCGTCGCGAATATCATATGGGTTTCAAGGACCCATTTAAGTTCGGTATTATTGAAATTTGCGGCGTTGAGACATTGTGCTCGCAGAGATTTTTTGTTCGCGCGATACCCTCTTTTCGACTGCTACGAGACACTGATTGTAAGTCTATCGTGCTGTTCCCATCTAGCGTTTGAGTTTCAATTTCTCTTCTTGCGTAGAAAAGAGACGGATACGTTGCGTTTTGCCTACTGGTATCTTGATCTTCTTGGGCCTGGGCTTCTCATCTTTTTCTGCGGTTGGCAGCGGAACGATTTCCGTTATGTCTTGCCATAAATACTGTGACGATTGAGAGCAAGTCTTCTGCGAGTTTTCCGGCTTCACTACTTTTGGCACTGACATCCGTACTGAGTACTACGAGCTGAGTGCCATTTTTCTCAAAGATCCATTCCACAAGCTTGAGTCTAAATCGACACAATCGGTCCTAATAAAAAAGTTAGTAAAATAATAAAATAATAAAGGCAATAAATCAAAGTAAATAAAAAGAAAATTCGAACCTTTCGGGTAACCACCACTTCCTTGATTTCTCCTTTGTGTATTCGTTTCAGAAGGGCAACAATTTCGTATTCTGAGTAGTGCTGTTGAAGATTTTCGATCTGTCGTTCAAGGTCGTCTCGTTGATGTTCTCTGGTATAGCAGATCTTTGCCTTTTGCGTGAGTCATTTTCCACCAGGTGTCCTGATAATAGCAATTCTTCCGGAGTTAGCCCATCGTCGCAATGTTTCAACTGAGACATCATACGTCTCTTGGATTTTACTTGCACTTTGGTAGGTGATCTTGTTCTGAGCCAGGATTGTAAAAAAGTGGGGTTTGTTTAGGAATGAGAGTTATTGACAGAACAGTGTTTATTGAAAGTTATTTTTTCGTTATTTTTGATTTTAAATGTGGAGATCTAGTTTAAATCATCAAGTGGATTAGTAATTTGGTTTTTTCAGGAATGTTCGAAATCAGTGTAATGGTAAATTATTTTCTTCAGATCATGAATTTTATTATACTAGTAATAAAATTGTTGTATATTACTTGGTGCTTATTTTCTGATGTATACGGTATTTTCATGTGAATGAAGTTTGCAAATGGTCTATAATATTAAAAAGACAAACGATTAGCATCGTTCGTTTTATATAGAACACCTGAACCATCAATATATTCCGAGGTTTAGGATAATATCCAAACCCTTTTCTTAAATATGATTGGTTAATATTTTTATTTTGCGGCTTATAATATTAAAGAATAAAAATTATAATCAATATATTTTTTTTACACTTAACATATTCCGTATTTTTATATTTTTAATCTTTATTAATAATTTATGCCATTTACATTATTATATTATTACAAATAAATTTCACAACTCCGCAAATATTTGAGCTAGTCTCATTAAATTTAATATTCAATACCCTCTGAATGCATTAATTGCTTTTTTCTTTAAATAAAGTGTGCAAATTATACCAAAAAAAAAAAAATAACGCGTCTTGATAACCATCTATAGCTTTATAATCATTCAGGCTAGAATCATGAAATTTTATGAAATTATGATAAACAAATTAACATGAACTTTTCTCTTTTTTACTCTTTCACCTATTTAAACATTACAACATTTTTAACAGTAATCTTAATATTATTATACAACCGAAAAAAAAATAATCAACTAGTAAATTCTACATCTCGATATAATAAAAAAGTCTACCATTTCTGTTTGTTCTAATTTTTAATTTTCATCCTCTGCAATCGCAAAATCTTCTTTATTTTGCTCTAGAACAAGTTTTTCATTTAATACAATATACTTTTCGCAGGATTCTATTAATTGCGATGCATTGCAATTTATTGCCCATTCTTTTATTTCAAGCACATTCCAAACACGTAGGCATTCATCTGTTATAGTAGGTACTATTTCATCTTTGAGTGTTTCAACACCATAAACATCTGCAACCTTTAATAGATGAACCAATGAATCTAAATAATAACTTTCATAACTTTCTTGTTCTTTTGTAAAGTGGTCTTTCTTACGTAAGACTGACTTTGTTGCTTGATCAAGAGGTTGCCCGTATAGCCATCGAAGAAATACCCGGAATACTTCGGGTTGAATACTTTCATCTACCATAGGTATCTCGATTTCTTTTTCTGCTGACTCACTAAAGCTACCACAAAACATTTTTTCAAAATAAGTTGAGGCGGCTATTCAAAAAAAAAAAATTAATAATCAAATTATAAAGGAGCAAAAGACATGATTTCAACATACCTGAAAGTAACAATCTAAAGGCACCAATCCTTTCTTTCTCTTTACCAACGATAAAGAACACATCATAAGGTTCATTGCCAGAATTATCCGTGACTTTTTTCAGTAAGGCATTAATCAAAATCTTATCTTGTTTATGTTCGGTTACAACATTTGATTTTTCTAAACCTTTTACCTCCTGAGCTCCACCAAGTAGTAATAAATGCTTGTAAGGCTTTAACCATTTTGAAACTTCTCTGAAATCATCTTCTAAATCAAATACAAGATCTTTTCCTAATACCCAATTTTTTGGATCAAACGGATCTTCTTCTTTGTTCAAGAATAATTTCCTCTTATCGTTATTAATCTTTGCTTGAATAGACGACTTATGTTTTTCAATTTGTGAAAGTTCATTCATTTCATTATAAATTTCTTTAATTACTTCATTTATCTCCTTATAACTACAAAGAGTATTCCATAATTCTATCCTGTCAACAACAACAAACCAATGTTCCATAATGTCTACTGGAGATGGAATTCCAATTTCTGGATGACGTTTATTGAAGGATGTAGTAGGTTCAAGGTTTTCATCAAATAATGGGCATTGAGTCCAACACACTTTCTTATATTTGTGAAGACGTAGCGTATTAAAACTTTCAAAACCAGAAGTCTCCTTTAACATTTGATATAATTGTCTTGGAAGGTTCACCTCTGATGGGACGAATTTGATCTCCAGAATATTGTCCCATTGTTCATTGTTGAAACGTAAATTGTCGATATGTTCGTATAAATATCGTACTAATACTTTCGCTCGATCTCTAACCGAACCCGTATTATTGCTGATCTGTAGGATAATCTCTTGTGTACATTCAATGAATGTATTATAATTTATTTGACGCTTAAGACCAATCCTTACAAGGCGTTCTAAATGAATGGAATCTTGTAATAATTCTACTGGTAAAAATTTGTCGCTATCTTCAAAAATACTTAGAAATATAGGAACATTCTTGTCATATAATTCATTTGCACTCACAAAAGCGGAGAGTGATTGATTCGGTATCACTTTACGATTTTTAAGCAGTTGTTCGATCTCGAGATTTTTTAAAGATAAAAGTTTCTTCAACAAAGGGATGTAACCTTCACAATCTTTTGGCTTTGAATTGATCTCAAAGTTTGGTAATAGATAATCTTTAACATATTGTAACTCGGTTATTACTTTGGCATTTAGGCTGACAAGTGCTAAATATTCATCATCTTTAAGATTACATTTGTAGAAATCGGTATTTTTATTAAAAGTAAAAAATGGAAGGTCAGATGGAAGAAGGATTCCAGACCTAGCATCAATGAACTTGTCTTCACAATTTTGTATCGACCATATTGGTAAAGAACTAAGAATTCTTATGAAATCATTTTGAGTTAGTCCATGATCTGTTATTGGTAAAAACAAAAATTTTTATAAAAAAAAAAGAAAATATGAATATAAGTGTATTAACGTTTAACTTTTATGTATAAAAAAAATCACTTGCCTATTAACCCTCTTTGTTCACTTAAAATAAAAGTTCTAAACTTTTCATATTCTGAGGGTGTCAGTTCACTAGTTCCAAACAACCCTTTCATATCCAATGATAATGAGGAACAAGTTTTCTTCAATGAATTAATTATATTTATAGGATTGCATTCCAAAATGCATTGTTTAAGTTTTTTATCATTTTCGAAAACTTTCATATCGGTAAAACGTACTTTCAACTTTACTAAAATTGGAATTAAAATGTGCCCATTATCATGCAAAAGTGGATTGGAAGGATTCGGGTTAACAAGCTTATTGGAAGGTTTTGTCATTGGCAGCAGGGGAAGTTTAGAAAGTTTATCGAATTCTATACTTCCTGCCTCCTTGGTAAGTAATGACCAAATTTTTTCGAGCCAAAGTTTATTTGGTACCAAATCTCCTTTAGGATTCCATGCAGTTTCTTTCGATGGTATTTCATGTTTTAAAAGGTCTAAAATTGCGGAAGCGTCAAACTTTTTAATTTGTGTAGCTTCAGAAAATTCTTTACTACAAAAAGCTTTCGACATATCATCTGATAAGTTAATGATAAATTTAGATGGGCCAATTTTTGGAAATAAGTCTACGTGTGATTTCTCTCCAACATAATGTCCCTGACCAAACTTTCCAACAGATCCATTGCTCAACGGAACTAGACATAATCCAGCAAGAAATTTATAAGAACCTTCGTCTTGAAGAATAAACTTGAGCAATTGGAATAATGTATCTCGATGTAGCTCATTAATAATCAATTGAACAATGGACTGCTTCGTCTTTTGTAATTCTTCACAAACTAATTTTCCATCCAGTGTGGTGTACTGTAAATTTGAATCTTTAGCTTCTTCAAGTTGTTCAAATTGTTTTTTGTCAAGTGTCACTACCAAAACTCCTATTTTGGCTAATATATCCGCGACTATCGGTGGTACATCTTCCTTAAGGATCTTTGCCGATTGTAATGAAATAAATTGTCCGTTATTGGCTTCAGTCCAGAGAAACTTTTGTTCAGAAATTCCTAGCCTTTTGATAACATTTAATCCATAATCTTTGTATAACCCCGTTATTTCATCCCTAATTGGCCAAAGATGATGTGGTCTGACATTTGTTTGTTCTCTGTTCAATTTGGCTTCGATAAGTTTTATAACAACATGATCAATCAGCTTAGCATGCAAATCAGGTAAAATCTCGCATAAAATATATCGATTCCACCTTGCATCATCACTATCAGCTTCCAGAAAATCGTGTAGAATATTACTTCTCGCGCTAGACAAAGAAAAGTTTCCATTTAAATGGACCCCCAAATTAGTACCTACTGATAGAGGTAAATAAGAAAACATTTCGCCGTCCAGAGCTGGAGGATTTGAAAGCTGTATTGATGCAAAATTTAAATTATTTAAAAAAAAAAAAGAATAATATAATGCAGTTAATTACACATAAATCAAACTTACAGATTCAGCTTTTAGCTCATCTAAACATTTTTCATCGGATTTAGCAATTAATGCGGCAACCCCACCTCTCGGCTTTATTTAAAATAAAGTTTGATAAGTAAAATATTAATTAAATAATAATTTAATCAAAACCAAACATATTATGCTTCTGAATATTTACCCTGAGTCGTTTTTCACTTGAAAATTGTTCAAATTCCGGTTTGACTCTCTCTTGTTCTCCATTACACAAAAGCCATATTTCCGAAGATTTCCTGTTATCTTCATTAGTTCTTTCAATCTCTAATTGATATGTTTGCTCCTGAACAATTACACTTTTACGAATGTCACGAATTGATTCTGACATATTATCAATCTGCGCCTGCCATTTCATTTGAGGAGCTTGTCCTCCTTTGTCAATATGATACAGACTGCATGATTCTATGTTCCTTAAGAAGAGCATCTCTTTACTACCCTGAACATTTTCAAAAATTTTCAAGATGTCTTTAATTTCGATAACTCGATTTGAAATTTCACTCATTTCCGCCAATTTGTGGGTTCTAAGTGGAAGCCTAAACAATGTCCCTTTGAATTCTTTTGTAAAACTGCAATCTTTTATAAAACCGCAATCTTCTAATGCTTTATAAGGAAAGCATTGATCTGGAATTCTTTTATTAAATTCCATTTCAATAAAATTAAATCGAGTACCTCTATACTTTTTTGCTGGAAGAAATTTAGCATTTGGATCTAAAAATGCAATATATTTTCCACTCACAATGCTTGGTAAATCTGTAACATGGAAAGAACTATTGAAACCTATTCCAAATCTTCCAATCTTGGTGTTATCATGAGATTTTCCTCCAACTCCGAGTTTAATCAAAGCCATAAAGTCATGGTCAGAAAATTCGGCATCATTATATATCCATATTGACGGACCTTGCCAATCATCCATCTCATCAGACAATAAAGTTGTTTTGGAACTATCATGCTGTAATTTTGGTCTTTCATCTATTATAACAGAAAACCGTTTGGCTTTGGCATCATCTGCGTTCTAACATTTGGAAAGATCATGAATAATTTTTTTTCAAATATCAATTCTTAATTTCCGTAAATTTATTTACTTACTTGAAGAAATTCTATAAACAATTTTTCTAACGGGTAATCCTAATGATAGTATATCGAAACAGGTTATTACATGATACGAAAATGAAAAATTAAAATCAACTAGTTACCTTAATAATATTTTTTATTCTGGTGGTTAATGATTCATCCTGTTCATAAATGTCCCAATTAATATCACTGGATCTATTGCCTAAATGAATGCAGAGAGTGAGTAAAACCGTAAAGATTAAAAGATAATAATTCTAGAATAATACAGTTACCATATATTTTCTCTGTTAAGGTTTCAATTCCTAATTCCTTAACAACCTCTGGAGTTATAAGGTGGTGAATAATTTGATATTTGGACTTCTTTTTTTCGTCAATTCGATCTTTCATATCATCATACTGAATTTCATCAATGTTTACAAGTTTGTTTTTAGTGCTTGGAACTAATAATCCATCCAATTTTTCCGAATACTTTCGTTCTTTCCTGGCATTCTGTTGTATTGTTGCGATCTGCTCAAGAATTTGAATAATTTCCTTGATTTCGTTCGTCGATAACTCTCTATCCAAATTTCCCATTGACTTGTCCTTAATGATCAAAATAAGATCTTTGACTCCAATAACATCACGAACTCCCATCGCTTTAAAAAAAGACACAAGTTTACTTGGATATTCTGCGGGAAATTCAACGACCGAGAAATCATTACTATCTAATTTACTTTGATGAGGAAGCTTAAAGACAATTTGATCAGCGCAATAAAATGTTTTCCCACACAAAATCCACGGAATATTTTCCAAGGATTCCTTCAAAAGTTCAAATACTCCATCACCTGCTCGATACATTTTATTCATATATTCGTAAATTGCGAAGCAAACCTCTTTAAGGTTTGATGGTCGCTCGTTTGATGTACAATCGTAGCATGATTCCAACTGTTTTAGAACCATTTTCGCTTCAGGATACGTTTTCCATTTCAAAAGCTTCGAGAATTCCTCGTTCTTTGCGTTCTGCTCAAATATTGGAGCGATAAAACAAACCAAATTTTTATCTCTTTGACAATAACAATCTTGAGGCTTCGAGAAGATCTTGTTCCCAGATTTGTCGACAGTTGGAATCCATTCGTTTTCTAAAATGGTATTCAAGAATCCTATATCATCATTTTCGGTTAATTTGTTCCAGTTATCATCCATATATTTGAAAAGCTTAAGTGCGTGGATTCGAACCGAATCCACATGAACCGTAGAATCCAACTTTCGCGCCATTATAGTATTAATACGCGAAACTACATCAGTTGAAGAAAGAATTGATTTCATTCCTAACGATCTCAGATTCGAGAGGAACTTCTTAGAAAGCAATTCCGTGGAAATCCCATATTGTCCAGTGGGAAAGGATTGCTCATTTTCAAAAAACAGATCAACTAATGCCTTCTCTTCGGGATCAAATAGATCTGTCGGTTTAACGAACCTTACATTGATAGGCAATTGAAGATTCTTTGACATTTCAAATGTGCCAACGGGTACGAAAGAAATATTTTTAAGTGAAGGTTTCAAATTATCATGATCAAAAAGTTTGTCAATTACAACATCTCTGACCGTTTGTTGCTGTGATTCGAGATATGGTATTACATAATTTTGCCAATAATCATCTGAATTTAATCGAGGAATCTTAATAATATCTTCAAGTATGTAACGTAAATTTTGTGAATTTGAATTAAGAAATCTTCCCTTATCACTCGGACAGATGATTCTACCATATAAGTTTTCTTCATACTTAGGAAGAAGGAACCAGTTTGTACCATTTTCAGGTAAATCAGGTAATAATGAAATTGTGGAAGTATGATCAACTTCGGTGAAAATCGGAAGATGCTTAATAACTTCAATTACTTCAATAACCTCTTCAAATTTCGAGCGTTTGTTCTTATAATTAAATCGGAAATAATTAGATAAATGATCAAGGAGCGCCTTTGATTCATGAATTTGTAGCAAGTGATTCAAGTTATTTGGATATGAAGTATCGGCTTGGAAAGATTTTAGAACCAATATCATATCATCAGGTTTAATAATATACGGAGATACTCTAAAAAATATATATATATATATATTTAGTTTATTTAAACATTAGATAAAATTACACACGAACCAAAAATACTTACTCGGGCAATTCGGCAACTTTTTCAAATATACTTTCTACGAAAACCGCACCAAATTTTTCGAAAATCGTATTCAGATATGAAGTCGAATGATTTAAAAAGACTTTTTTCGGAGTTTTTAGCTTTCTAAGAGTATTATGACTCGTTGGGATTAAATGAACGTTTTCAAAATGTTTCAAATCCCATCGTCTGTAACTTAGATTTCCCCACAATTTATGAATCCATTCACGATGATTTGAAATCTTTATCTCTTCGGAATCTACATTTTCGGATTTCAACGAGAATTTGATCATATTTATAACATCCCATGCATCTAAAACTTTAATGTTTAGATTCCATTCGTGAGCTGTCATGCTGTAAAAGCTTTTATATAATCCATTATCAATGTTCTTATCAATGAATTTGTTCAAATGATCCTTGAAGACATTAATTTCGTCATATTTATTTATATGACTGTTATCATTTGGACCAATATATATATAGGAATCGCTCGATTTTGTCAAAGTACCAAGCGTATTATTTGCGAGTGGAATAATTTTAAAACCTTCCAACAAGTTAAAATTTTTGTTCGTGAATACATACTTGAATACTCGTAAAACTTCCGGCCTTAACATTTTATCTTGCCATCGATCAATATTATTTTTTAAATAATTCCGAACATTAATAGGTGAAAGCAACGTAAAAGAGTCTTTAAGTTTGGATTCTTTTAGAGCCCCAATTATTTTATCATGAGTAAGGGGAGTTGATATTACAGGAAACCCAATCTTTTTAATTATGTTAGACACATCGTTATACGACCCATCCAAAAAGCCGTTTGAAAGTGATAACCAATAAAATTTGGAACCTTCGAATAAGGATGCGTCATATGAACTAGCCGAAACTTTCGATACCGTTCCAACGACGTTTGGTAAAGAAGGACCTTCGAATACATGATCCTCAACATCAAGATTTTCTATAACGTTCTTTAATAGATCCTTGCAAAAATTACTTATGCTACCCTTATCATCCGTAAATATTGGCCAAAATTTATACATATCACCGGATTTAATTTTAGGAAACTTATACGGTAGCTCACGAAGAAATCTTACCCAAGCTTTGGGTAAGACATTTTCGAATAAATATTGATTCCACGAAACCTTTAGACGTGCTATCGCATCAGCCGCCTAGAATTAATTAATATCCGGTATTGTTAGTACAATTTTTTTTTTTTAGCATACATGACATGTTAAAAATATTATGAAGGGGAATAGATTATTTACCAGGTCTTCGTTATCTGCAACTGTCCATAAAGAACGTCGGTTGGTACTAACCTGTCAAATAAAATTGAAATTAAGAATATAAATCATAAAAATAAATAAATAAAATAAATAAATAAATTTTCAAAACTTTGTTGATTCATACCGCGAAATATCCATTCACAGAAACAGAAAAAGGCGTGGAAATTGGAAGGGGTAAGAAGCAAAATAATCTTCCCACAGCATTTAAATCATTCAAATTAATGGCCAAGCCGACGTTTGGGATAAACTTATAGTCTGCTATATTTTTTTTGAACTTGTTTTTAAAATGACTTTCGGTTTCTTGCAAATCATCAAGATAATTCAAAATCAGCCATGAGCTGTTCTCATCGGGAATTTCGGAAATCCCTCTTTGACGACGGAATGATGCAACATAAGATGTCACCACTTCCTTATTACTTTGTTTGGAAGTTAATGAATTCATCATTGGTACAATATTCTCCGCTATAAGACGGCGTTGTTCTCTTACTTCATTAGCATTAGTCAGTTCAATTGTAAATAGAAAGTCGGGTTCAGCAGCGCCTTCTTTTAATTCAAAAAAAGTAATCGTTTCAATATATTTTAAAAATAATATACAATTAGTACGTTCGTTTTTGTAAAAGTTATAAAATGTTTCTAATATTTCATTAGGGCTATAAACTTTCTTAGAGATATCCGAATCAATAGAATCTTGTTTAGTACGGAGAGGATACCGAAATATAGTTCCATCATATGAATCGTTATACGAGAGATTAATTGATGGAATTACAAAAGGAGCAAACTGATCGGGATATCTTTGTTGCAAATTATCTTCAACAAAATCGAATTGAACGCCACCACCAAAGTACCATTCATGCGGATCAAGAATAACGAATTTATCACCGGTAATGAAAGAAGGCGAATCGGTAATATGATAAATTGAATTAAAACCGACTCCCATTACTAAAATTCATATTAAACATCATCATTTAGAATATGCGATAAAGCGATAAAAAAAATTTATCATATGGAAATTAGCTGCGTCATATTTATTACCTCCGATTTTATCGAATTGATCTCGTTTTTCACTATCAGCCAATTTCAACAAAGATTGAAAATCCCTTTCTTCAAAAATAGTATTATTTAATGCCAATAATGCGGGACCTTGATATCTGTCAAGTTTCAAATTTGTTCTGTTGTAACCGTTCACCAATTCCGGTTCGAATAATTTATTTGACGAATAGGTATTATGATCCAAAATAAAAATTTGTTGAGAGCTCTTTGCATCGTCAGAATTTTGAAGTATTTCACGAAGGATTTGTGAACCATCAGGATATTCTTCAAGAATTTTACGCAAACGCTGTGTGTATGGCTCTTTTGGTTTAAATGGTCTTCCTCTTGCTCTCCCAGAATTATTAGCCATCTTATTAATGATGATTTTGATATTGATATTATTAGAAAGTGTATTGGAAAAAGAATAACTGAATAAAATTTGTTGTTAGTCTTTTATGCGTTAAATTTTATTATGATGTCCGAAAAGAGGCCCATTTATCCTATTGAATCCAAAATCAGATCTATTTAAAAAAAAAAAAACTTTAAACTATTCTGATTCTGTCAAAAAAAAGCTGCGTAAGCTGCCCAAAACAAAGTACAATTATTTTTATAACGAGCAAAATGAATATTTCCCAATTCATAATTGCTCGATATGGGTTAGTAGTTTGACCTTGGGATTTAACAAGTGATGTATATTCGTTTCACAAGACTCCTTTTTTATTTATTTTCTAAAGTGTATAAATCTGCGGCCTGTGCTCTCTCCCCCCTTTTCATTCAAACAAATCTTTTTATATATACACAAGGGATAATCCAGCGCCCACATACGTCGTTGTACAGTATGATGATATTCTCCGAGAATATTCCCCAAAAATTGTATTCAAATAAAGACCATTTTGATTATTAATTCTTTGTTTTGTTCATTTAAAATGTTTAATATATCTCAAATTAAAGATTATCGTTAGATTGGGTAATTTTTTATTTTTCATTATGTTATTATGTCATTTAGATTTTCTAGAATAACCAGATATTTATTCTTTGTTTTTCGTCTTTGTGCTGCTTTATTTATTTGCAATCGAAAATTCGAATATCCTATTTTAAACGGAAACCCTAATATCAGACAAATATTAGGAATGGTAATCGGAATTCCTCAGCGACTTACCGAATATCGGTTTTAGAAGTTGGACAATCAACGACTCTGGTGAGGGTGTTTAAACAATCGTCGTATGAAAGAAAAATCCATGATTCCAGAATAAGCCATTCAGGCCCAGTTTTTAGTATTATTGGTAGAACCAGCGATTTTATGAAAATAATTACATCATCAAAATTGTCAATGATAAAATCTTGACAATCTTGATCCAACCTGATGAAATATATTTTTCTTCATTAATTGCATCATTCACGTGGAGCAAAGGAATATTATTTAAAAATGTATAGACTTCTTTTATCGTGTACCCCATATAAATAATTTTTTTTTAAAATAATGATCACGTGATAAATACAGGTTAACCCCCAGGATTCCCATATTGTTTAACAAGACTTATGTTGCACCGCAGTTTCATTGTGTTACACGTAATGATAATCATTTCTTTGGAAAAAGGGGTTCTGAGACAATATATTATATTGTCCCAGAACCTCTTAAATAAATTTAACTATTACATTTTCACATATACGCATGTATATAAGGAACTCACCATTTTCGACTTTATTTGGCAAATAAAAACTTCATCGTCCGTTTATGATGACGTTTCACAATTTCTATTATAAAATTATAATTAATCATTTTTTAAAATGGATGAAGGAGAAAGAATGACAACATTTTTGGCCCTCCCTAATATGAATATTATTATCAATTGCTACTGTAAAAGCTGTTTAAGTTAAATGCCAGTTTTTAACATTTTCTAAAATAAATTAAATCATTCATTTTTAGAAAATTACTACGTATCACCGGTATCACATGTTATATGTTTATGTATTCTAGGGACAGAATTTTTTCATCACTAAAAAATATTTGTTTCACCCCCCCATTAAATGTCACCGGTCACATGAGGTCAATTACTATTGGTTGATTTGATCACCAATAGCAAACTCCTCGATTTTAATATAAAATTTATAATAAATAATATCATTTGGAAATGATTTTAGAGATAATTTCTAACGTTAGTAAAATACTTTAGGTTATATATAATTTAGATTAAATATGATATTATAATTCATTAAATTTATTTATTAATAATTGTTATTTAATTTGTAATAAGACTATAATAAATTATAAATTAATAATACTTATTTTTTAACAATTTGGTTAATTGAAATTTATAATATAGATTTATTAGTTTTTTTTTATATACAAGTTAATATGAAGTTTAAAATTATTCTTCATCAGTTTTTATCTAATAAATTTACTATTAATTATTAATTATTTTTACATTTAATTTATTATTTTAATATATTTATTTATTAATTATTATATTATTTATATACTGTATAAGAAATAAATAAGTTATTTTAATTGTATTATTAAAAGATTTGAAAAATGATATAATAATTAATATATAAAATATCTTTTATGTATTATTATAAAAGTTAATTTTATTATTGTGAATTACATGATATATATAATGCAAATATTTTATCAATTTGACAAATCTAATAATCTAATATCTCTGACATTTCTGGTATATCTGATATTTCTAACATATATATGACATATCTGACATAATTAACATATTAGACATAGTTAACATATTAGATATATTAATCATATATGATAAATTAGATATATATGATATATCAATTTATTTTTCTATAATGTATTTTATATAAATAGTATTAACGTATAATTCTTGTGAATACAACTATTAGACAGGATAACAAAGTGTTATTTCTTTTTAATTGCATAGTAATCATTAAGGTTTTTACAAGTTTATTATCATGACTAAATTTAGGCAAAGGTTTCAAATAAAGGTTTATATAAGTATTTCACAATAAACAGTTCACAAAGTATCGAGTAATTAAATTTTCAAGTAAGATGTTTTTTCATAAGATAAGAAATAGAAATAAAGAGAATAAAAGATATGATAAGAAAAAAGAAAAGAAAATAAAAAAATGAAGTATTAAACTAAAATATAACACAATAGGTCTGTTTGCCTATTAAAAACTACTGAAAAACTGACTTGTCAAATCCTACTTTTTACATAGTCTAAAAAGCTATCTATTTATATAAAATACAGTATATAGAAA